AGGGTATCCCTTACCACTTGCCGGTACTTGTTTACATTTTCTTGAAGCGTGTCAAGTAGAAAACGGAAGATCTTTTCCATGTTCTGGGTTAATGTTTGCTGGATATCCCTTCTTCTTTGAGGGGGTAGGGTCTGAAAGGTCACTACATCCTCTGCCAGTCGTAGAAGGATAAACATCACTAATTCTGTTTGTGTTTCCTGTATCAATAGAAATAAACTAATTAATCTGAAACATCCTTTTCACTATAGGTATGCCCAAAAGCTCTTTTCTGTTGACAAAACAAACTCCAGAACACCCCCCCCCCCAATAAACTGAATTGGTATAGCTGTATTTTATACCCCTTGTTTGGAAAGGGTGTCCAGTTCTATTAGCATATCAGGCCAATGCTGTGGCCACTCCCGCTTGATCATTTCTACTACAATTCGTGACAAAACATCTTTAATATGGTTCTCCTCTTCCAAAATATCCAGTGTTCCCTGAAAAAGATTAAGAGACAATAAGAGGTTTACAAGACTGAATTTAAAGAACCTAAAAAACCAAAAAAACCTGCACTGTGAAAGTGTACAGAACTCATCAGCAGGCTTGCCTTTTAAACTAAACAGAGTAAATAAACTTGCTCTCCAGGTCTGAGTCACTTGTCCTGCATTCTCATTAACCATTTTCTTCACTTGAAGCATAAGTAAGGGCTGCATCAGCTAATAAAGTGACTGTCACACAGAGCAAGGAAGACTTCATTGTTTTCCTTTACAAACCGAAAAGACTCTCACACTGTTTTCATTTTGTAAGAGCGCCAGAGTACAGAAACAAGGAGGACAATAAGAAGCTGATATAATGAAGAGAATTAGGAGAAGCAACTAAATATTTTACTGATAATTCTAGCATTATAAGACACACAAGAAAAGTATTCCTGGGACTTTGTTCTTCTTAAGTTTGATATCAAGTTTAATGAATTAGAATTACTATCAAGTTTCCCAAGAACTAGCAAAATACAAATCCTAAATTGATTAATAATTCTGAAGGGAATTTTCTTCTATTAAAGGCACCCAACTTTGGAGAGGAAAAGATGGGAATTCAACTTTCCATGCCATTTGTAAGAAAGAAAAAAAAAAGGCTGTATATTTTAAGCATGTTTAAAGTCATATCCTAATTCCTGATACAAATCCATCCTGCCTATTTTGTTTTGTTAAAATCATACAGTAAAATTTGGTTTGGAATAAAAGGAAACAAACAGCAAAGTGCAATCTACTTTAAATCTAAGAATCTTGTTCATTTGCTGAAAATGTTTAATATTTTCTGCCCCGTTGAGCATGCAGAACTGTGTTTGACCTACGCAGAACTAGTGAATTTTTACATAAATGCTGAATAAGTCAAAGTCACACTTAGTCTAAACTACCTTTAAAACACAAGTCTTCCAACCAACCATTCCTTACATTTGCAATCAGCTCCATGACACTGTTCTTCAGATAGACTTTCTCCAATCGAGACATGCTGTTCCACCGAAACCTGGCCACCAAAATGCGTAAGGTCAGAGAACCACATTAGAAGTCTTCAAAAGAGACTAGCTTTGATTCTGTTATATTATGTTAGTGAACTAAAATATTATACTTCTGATTTTGTACCTTTAAAGAAAGGACAAGAACAGTCCATGTTCAACTAAAATGCTGACAACAGAAAAATTCTTGAGAAAAAGTTCTGTATAAGAAGTGGTCCACTAACTGAAATTTACAGGATTTGTACACAGATTAGCTTCTCCCCTTGATTTTACTGATAGACCAAAAGCAAATATCTACCTGGGACAACCAGAACAAATATAGTTGCTTTTCAGAAACTACAATGTCGGGGTGCTAGGGTGGCTTAGTCAGTAAAGCATCTGCCTTCAGCTCGGGTCATGATTCCAGCATCCTGCAATCGAGTTCTGCATCAGACTCCCTGCTCTGTGGGGAGCCTGCTTCTCCCTCTCCCCCTGCCTACTGCTCCCTTTGCTTGTACGCTTGCTCTGTCAAATAAATAAATAAAATCTAAAAAAAAAACAACAACACATTATTGATACCACTAACTTCTCTCTCTCTCTCTTTTTTTTTTTTTTTTAATGTGCTGGCTTATTTATGAATAGCACAATCCCACAAAGACTGTGGCTAAGTCTTAAAGCTGACTCTTTTGGGAGATGCTAGGGGTAGAAGACTCAAGTTAGGAAGGGTTTTCAGTTTTTCTCATATAATTCTGCTTTGGATTTGCCATTCAGAGAAGGAACATGTTTAAACTTTAAAAAAAATTTAAAAGTGCAATGCCTAATCAGAGATTTAATTACCTATACAAAAAAATAAATAAATAATTACCTATACACTCTATTATTTTAAAAAGACTTTGAGATCTGCTGGTATACAGTGGGAGCTCAATACTGATTGAACCACTATCAGCTCATATTTGTAGAATGCTTAGTAAGTACTTAGTATGTATTCTACATGGATGAAGAAACTGAAGAAGAGAAAGGTTAAGTCTTGAATAAGAGTACTCTTGAGGTTATGATAATCTCTTGGGAAATCATTCCTTTCTTCTCAGTGATTGTTCTTCTCTGCTCACCTAAAGATTATCTCTATGAGTTACATAAGAAATAAAGACTTGCTCTCTCACAGACTACAATGGTACTGTCCAAAAGCTCCTTACTTGACAACGTGTTCCAGGATTTGAAGGCCAAAATGTCTGACGATGGCAATTTGTGTTTTCTCAGCCAACCTCAAGCCACAGGGGACACAGATAGGGCACTTTTCTTTAAATTCTTCACAGAACTGCAACAACAAAAGTTAGTATTTCCCTTAGGAGGCAAGAGACAGTGGGGATTAAAAAAAATTTTTTTTAAACTTCATCTTAATAAACTCCACCTGAGCTATATTTTTAAACTGCAAAATCTAGATCAATAGTATATGAGTAAAGAACTGGGCAGCCTGGGTGGCTCAGAGGTTTGGCGCCTGCCTTTGGCCCAGGGCATGATCCTGGAGTCCCGGGATTGAGTCCCATGTCGGGCTCCCTGCCTGCAGCCTTTTTCTCCCTCTGCCTGTGTCTCCGCCTCTCCCTCTCTGTCTCTCAAGAATAAATAAATAAAATCTTAAAAAAAAAAAAAGAACTGATAAACATTCCTTTCACTTTGATAGTTACAAATTTGCCATGCCATGGCCAATAACATTGAAAAAAGTCTGACCTATAGGAGTTAAAAATTATTTGTTAGAGATGTACTCCTGCAGTATATAGGGGTGAAATGACAACTTCTAGGATTTGATTTAAAAAACAGGGATCCCTGGGTGGCGCAGCGGTTTGGCGCCTGCCTTTGGCCCAGGGCGCGATCCTGGAGACCCGGGATCGAATCCCGCGTCGGGCTCCCGGTGCATGGAGCCTGCTTCTCCCTCTGCCTGTGTCTCTGCGCCTCTCTCTCTCTCTCTCTCTGTGTGTGACTGTCATAAATAAATAAAAATTAAAAAAAAAAATAAATAAAAAACAAAAGGGAGGGGTGGGGGGTGGGAAGCAAATGTGGCAAAATTTTTATAACTCCTTAATTTAGGTGTGGGGTATATACAAGATCATTGTAGTATTATTCTCTTTACTTTTGTGTATGTTTTTAATATTTCATAAGAAAAAAAACCAAATAGAACACAACTGTTTCTCATTCCAAATCTTGTGGCAAACACTGTATGGTCTTAAAAGTAAAGTTCCTTCCAAATGATGTTCACTCTACTTTATAGTTACATCATTTAAAATTACGAAAAACTTTAAAAAATAACGTGCAGAAGTGTTTTTCCTAATGGTCATTTCTCACAATCCACACACACAGTTTGATGTGGGAATGAGTGCGCAATTTATTACCATCCCAATTTGTATTAGCATTCCCAAACTGCAATAGAAGAGTCAGTCCCAAGAGCTGAGCATGCGGACTCAAGAAAACTACTTTCAGGAAACCAAAGTGCCCTTGTTAAAATGCAAAGTAAGTGGTAGAAGTTCATCTTTGCGCAAAATAGCCTGAGAATAGAACAAGTAAAAGAACGTGGGGGGAGGGTGTGTGAGAATGAGCCCAGAAACAACCCGAGACACAGAAGAGGATTAGTGAGAGGTGTAAGAATGTAAATAAAGTGGCACTAGCGGGGCTGGAGCTCGGCTAGGAGGGTCAGGAGCATGCAAGGAAACGTTTAATGCAGGGGAGACCGTAAAGAATGTAGCCGGTGTTGGGGACGTACGTGATGGGCACGTGCGCCATGGGAAGGACGTGGGGCTTGGGGTAGTAAAATAGAAGCATCGGGCTGTGGTGTGGGTAGGACTGAAGAGAAGTGGGGAAAGGAGAAGAGAGGGCAGAAGGAAGTGGTAGTGAGATGAGGAGCAGCAGGGAACCAGAGGGTCCCGAGAAAAGGGCAGGCGCGACTGGCAGAGAAAGCCCGAGTGAGAAGAGGCGCGGAGGGCGAGGAGGGGAAAGGCTAAGGGCCCGGGGGGTTGCAGTGGGAGGTTCAAGGGCCGCGTGGGCGGGAGACCAGCAGGGCTTCAGGCGGGGGGGGGGGGGGGGCGCTGGGGCTAGGGGAGGATCTTGGGGCAGGCCCAGGACGCCGGACCCCTTCTACCTTGAGGGCTTCCAGCCGGTAGCGCTGGGTGGAGCTGGGGTCCATCATGACCGTCACCGCTTTCACCAGCTGCTCGCACAGCGCGTTCACTTGATCCATCGCCATGGCTAGTGCCACGCGCCGCGAGCGCGCACCGCCGCCGTCCCAGGAGCACGAGGCACCGACCGCTCCCTTCGGAGGACCACAAGCTGGTACCGGGCCGCGGCGGGCTGGGGGGTGGGGAGCGGGAGGAGGAGCGTGAGCTGCAGAAGCTCCAGCCTGGAAGGAGCGGGGGCTGCGCACGCGCCCGACTCGCCACTGCGCACGCGCCCGCGGAAGTGGCGGCTCCCGTGTGACGGTTGCTTCTCGGTGGGCGGAGCGGAGAACGGAAGGGCTGCAGTGCGCAGGCGCGCCAACGGCTCTTCTGCGGCGCGCGCGCTGCCTAATCTCAGTTCCGAGGGCCGGCTGTTGAGCGCGCAAGCCCTGGCTTGTCCGGCGGGGCAGTGCGGGCGGCTTCCCCAGCCAGGGTCGTCTGTGACCCGTGGTCCGTTTCTCCGTCATCACGGGGAATAAATTTCTGGAAACCGACTGGTGCTCTCCCGGAGACGGGGCAGATATTCAAGACGCCTTCGTCTTCCTTGAGTGGACAGCGAGCCCGGCATCTCTGGCGTCCGTGCCTGGCAGTTTTTCCAGGTGACTGCCCCATTGGTAAGAGAATTTAGAACCGCTCGGCAGACTTTTCATGTTGTCTTGGCTGTTGGTTTCGTGCTGTAGCAGTGGCTGATGATGACGTTGGGCCAAAATTCGATGAAACAAACGCATGCTTATGGAGACGTAAAGGCCCGGTATGGTTCCCTGAGAGGAATTTTCTTGTGGGAAAGTGGTATTTTAGCTAGCTCTTAAACTTCCCTCTTCGCTTGTGCTTATTTTCGTTAGATGTGTTCTCGCCTGACGGGCACCAAACTTACTTGGTACAGATGGTGATAAGTCGAGATATTTGAAGATGAATAATTGCAATTATTGAAGGCTTGTGCAGTTTGCATCATTTGAAGTGCCACGAATAAGACTTCAGAGCAGTGTAATCCTTATTCGGAAAAGGGGGTTTTTGGCAGCGAGTGTGTTTCATTTTTTTCCATCTTTAAAAAGCTCTTGCTTTCTCCAGCATAATACATAAACTGAAGACTTCATCAGCTTCATTTCCCGTTGAAGTTTGCATATTGGGTTTGTTTACTCAATAAAATGTTTGCTGGACTTAAATCACTGCTTCCTATTCATACTCCATTTCTGCCATTTGCATCTCGTGTGGTACTTCCCTGGTAGGTTTAGTGTATGTGTGTGAAAATGTGTTTACTATTTTTATTATGGCATCATCATCTGTTCCAGTGCAACACAAAAGCCACTTCATGGTGAGGTGATTTCTGACATGTTATGGTTGTAACTTACAAATGTTTAAAGTTACACATTCTGCCAGTTTTCAGTGAGTGGAATTTATAAGGAATTAATACCTTGATTATTCAGATTTTGAAATTTGTTGTATTCTTTCCACTAATCTTCTGTGATTTTTTTTTAAGAGTACAGTTGAGTGCTTACTCAACTGTATAACCTATGTGTCTCATATTTAAATCACCAATTACTGTTGTTTCCATAAGTATCTTATATACTTGAGGTCTCTTGTTTCCAGTCTCTGCTACATATTAGAATTGCCTGGAGACCTTTTAAAAATCACAGTGCCCAGGTTGCACCCTGTTTTGTGCTAGCTCAATCTATTATCTTTAATAAATTTAAATAAAATAACATCTGAGTAATATTGATATTTGGCTTCTACCACCAGAGATCGTAATTTAATTGGTATTTGTGTGTTTTGTGCTATCTCAGCCTAGCGATGGTAATGCCATGGTTAGAAATGCTTGGGGGCACTCACTTGGGCTCCAGTGAGCTTCCCACAGACACCTCCTCTGTCCAAACCATAACAGTGATCTTCAGGAAACTTTGGAAAAAAAAAAAAAGTTTATTCTTTACAAGCCCTGGAGATCACAAGACACAGCAGTGGGTACACAGCAAGGTTACAGGTAGTGAGGGAGCAAGCTAGTACAGGCTGGGGGTTCTGCTTTTACTGGGGTTGAGGGTGGCCATCAAGAGTTTCATGGGTGAGTTTTATTTATTTTAGATTTTAATTATTTGACAGAGAAAGAGAGCACAAGCAGGGGTAGTAGCAGAGGGAGAAGGAGAAGCAGGCTCTCTGCTGAGTAGGGAGCCTGATGCGGGACTCAGTCCCAGGATTCTGGGATCATGACCTGAGCAAAGGCAAACACTTAACTGACTGAGCCATCCAGGTGCCTCTTCGTGGGTAAATTTAAAAAATAAGAGCAGGAGTGGCACCTGGGTGTTCAGTCGGTTAAATATCTGCCTTCAGTTCAGGTCATGATATTGGGATTCTGGGATCTAGCCCTGAGTCTGATTCCCTGCACAGCGGGGAGTCTGCTTCTCCCTCTCTTGTCCGCTTCCCTCCTGACTGCCTTCTCCCGCTCATGCTCTCTCTCAAATAAAGTTAAAAATAAAATTTTAAATTAAAAAACAGCAGGAATTTATAGGAAGAGAGAAAAAGGAAAACAAAAAGCCAAGCACCCAAAAATGGCCAGTTATTGAAATCAACCAAGAACTCTAAAACAAAGCAGTCTCACGTTGGGGAGGCAGCCTGGCACTTTATATAGTCATTTGGCTGTGTGTTTATTCAAGATAGTCATCTTTGAAGTGGATGCCTCAGCAATCCAAGCTTAAATCAGGCATCTGCATTATGAAATAGGGATGGGGGGAACAACTGTCAGAGTTTACACAACAATCTACCCTGTGATGCCAGAGTCAGTGATGAAGACATCAACTGCCTGGATAGCTAGTATGTTAAAAGGGTAGAATAATTATACAGGCTATAGTTTGAAATCCAGTCTGTACTTATTGTCCCAAATTTGAAAGGGTCCAGCCATGAAAATAGGTAAGTGATCTTGACTTTTTGTTTGGCCCTGGAAATCTCTTCAAGGATTTGGGTAATATTGTGAAATGTTTTAACATCTTCAGCCATCTGGTATAAGTAGGTTTGAGCCTGTTCTGAGTTGCTAGGTTGTTTCACATCCAAAGGAACCAGTCCCTTAGTCCTGAGAAAAAGTCAGTTTAATTAAAGGGTTGTGTCTCATTTCAGAAGGTGGTGGTGCAGGTGGGTTCCCCAAGTTAGGCCTGTTGGAGGGAAAACAACAACAACAACAATAAATTTAAAGATCTTACTGGCTTTATTCAATGGTTGTGAATTGGGCAGCATCCCATCTAACAAAAAGGAACTCCTGAAAGCTGTACAAAATGAAAGAATTTTATAGGCAGAAGGGGACATGACAAGAAAGTTATTGTCACAGGACGCCTGGGTGGCTCAGCAGTTGACTGCCTTTGGCTGTGTGACCCCAGAGTCTGGGGATCGAGTCCCACATCGGGCTCCCTGCATGGAGCCTGCTTCTCCCCCTCTGTCTCTCTCTCTCTCTCTCTCTCTCTCTCTCTCTCTCTCTCTGTCTCTCATGAATAAATAAAATCTTAAAAAAAAAAAAGTTACTGTTAGAGTGGATTGTTTCAAGTAAGTCCACCTTCCTTGCGGGGGAAGGCAGGGCATTAGTGCTGACCGGGAAATTCCAGACTGACAAGGTAAGATTACATATGAGAGACTAAAATTGTAATTGGGTATTCAGTCTTGGTTTGGTGACACTGGCTTAAGCATAAGTGACTTCTATTTTGGGCCTGCTGTCTCTTAACATGCTTACATGGTGGAAGTATTTGTCTCAGGCATTTAATAAGAGGTATTTCTATGGAAACAAAAGAAGGAAAAACAAAAGTCAATACTTGAAGAAGATTATAATCCTAGTTTTTGAGTTCTGAAGGCAGCCAGTTGAGCAGATTTCTACATGTCAGGCTGAAAGCATCTTCAGATGGAGTGAGGGCAGGCAGTGGCAGTCTGTAAGATTTCCCTAGTTTGCAGTTTGAATGTATCTGGGAATCTTTTTTTCTGAGTGGTCCATGCAGCAACAGGCACAAAATTGTCTATACATGAGCTGTTGTGGTGATTTAAGTTTATATCAAGTTGTCCCACTTTGCTTGCATGGTTTTGGGAAAAGGCAATTTTAGTTCTTGGTGTTTCCAAGTCAGATGGGTGGGAGAACACTTGGAAATGTTAGTTTGGAGAGTTGTAGCCAAATATTGGAGGAAACTAGAAGAATTCAGGATCCAGTCTACTTCAGAGGTGGAAAACAAAACCTCAAAGACAAATAAAAGCAGTAGAATCTGATACACACAATGGTGTATTGCTGAAACATTCTTTGTCTCACAATCAACCCCGTTTCTATCAGAGATAGTTAAAATAAAGCTAATTTGTTTATAAAATAAGTCTAATCTCGGTAAACTTGGCTGATTATTTACATAATTGGAGTAAGAATAATGAGGACCATATAGACTTTTAAGTTTGCTTTGCTGGAATTTTTTTTTTTTTTAAGATTTTATTTATTCATGAGACACACACAGAGAGGCAGAGATAGAGGGAGAAGCAGGCTTCTCGCAGGGAGCCCGATGCCAGACTGGATCCCTGGACCAGGATCACGCCCTGAGCCAAAGGCAGATGCTCAACCACTGAGCCACCCAGGCATCCCTGCTGGAATTTTTCATAAGGAATCTCAGATTGTCTTCCTAGCCTTGAGAGGCTTTTAAATGTTCAATTCAGAAATACGCCAGTAGGTCTTTCCTTCAATACGTATAAATTCAGGTGAATTCCTCTCTTTTTGAGGTTCCTCAAATACCCTGAGATTCCTGAGCTTGCCAGGAAGTCACCATCTCCTTACTCACCTGGTCAAGGCTATTGGATCTGTAAGCAAGGTGCCAGGCTGATTTTTTCCATGGAGCTTTATTGGCTCCATAAACTCAACAATAGTTTTTTAACTATTGTGTCTATGTATGTCTTTCTCAAATATGACATTCCAGTGAAATATAATATAACCAATGTTTCCAATTGTGTCCTGTTACAAGAACAGATCCTTATTGAATTTATGCAGATAATTCTATTGCCATGAAAATAAGAATATTCACTGACAGTTTTCCAGTTCTGTAGGGATCAGATAGGGAGAAAAAGTAATTGTATCATGAGTATTCCCAAAAGTATCCTATACCAAATTGCTGTAAGTCAGAGATAGCTTAAGAGAGGAGATTTCCTTAAATATGGAAAAAACAATATTAACCAAAAAAAAAAAAGAACCAACAATGTTTCATATAAAAAGTCATAAAAATTACAATCATCCTCATCAGCTCATTCAGTCCCATGGAATTTTTGATTTTTTTTAACAGTTTTAAGAAACCATCAGTTTCTCTATCAGTTCTTATCCAGTTCAGTGATATAATCTAAAAGTTACCAGAAACCTGTATTCTAGAGTACTTGTCAGGGTCCTTCCCATGAATTTCTAAAGATGAAACACATTTGCGAACAACTGTAAATGACAAAAGACTTTTAAAAGTCCATACTTAAATATAAACAAACAAATAAATAAAAGTCCATACTTAAAGATCTGCTGAGAGTTAATTATAATGCAGTTGACAAGGAAATTTGGTATTTTTGTGACACATTAACTTTTTTTATGAGTTGGGGGCAGAGGTAGAGAAAGAATCTCAAGCAGACTCCATTCCCAGAGGGGAGCCTGACACAGGGCTTGATCTCATAATCCTGAGATCATGACCTGAGCTGAAACCATAGTCAGACACTTAACTGACTGACCCACAGCACCCCAAGTGACACAAAACATTTTAAAATGATAATCGAGGGCCCTTAGGTGGCTCAGTTGGTTGGGCCTCTGCCTTTGGCTCTGGTCATGATCCCGGAGTTCTAGGGTAGAGCTCCTTGTCACGCTTCCCACTTAGTGGGGAGTCTGCTGCTCCTCTCCCTCTGTCCCTTTCCCTACTCATGCTGTCTCTATCTCTCTCTCAAGTAAAGGATAGAATCTTTAAAAAAATAAGATGATAATTGGAATTAAGATTGATAACATCAGAATTTGAGTAATTTCATATAGTTTCTGGAACACATATATCCATATGAGAATATGCATAAAGAAGGTTTAGCATTATTTTGTATTTGACACTGCTTCCCATGTAATTTAACATATCATTAACAGGTTAACCTCACCATCTGAAAGTAGAACATTCCTATGAAACCTTTCATAAGCCAAAATGGTGTAAAGCCAAAAAGCAGTTAACCTTTTGTTTATATGGAAAAGTTTTTGAGCATTCTCCGACCTAAAAAATAACCCTCTTTACACTTTTTGATACTTTAGGACACATCTTGCTATCAGATGCATAAAATTAATGAAGAGAAAGCCAGATGCTCACATAGTGCACAAAGCTATGGCTGCCTGGTGCTGAAATGCTGAGCATAGTTCCTGGGGAAGGAGCTTGATGGTGCTACTCTTGCTTTGTGACAAGTGTGCCGCCTCTGTAATGGTTCACTGTAAAACAAACACTGTTTTCACCTTTCATCTTTTTTTCTGTAAAGGAAAAATCCTCTTCAGATATCTTTTAGAGAAAAGAGGTACTAATGTGGATCTTTCATAAAAGTGAAGTGGCATGAGGCAGACTTTCAAAAAGGCATCTGTAAGCCTAATTAATTTAACATCTGTCTTTTTATAGAGAATAAATCTTTTGAGATGTTCTATGGGCCCGCTGAAAAGTCTAAAAGTTAGTTTGAGGTCAAAAAGACTTCATTTATGGGACAGCCTGGGTGGCTCAGCGGTTTAGTGCCGCCTTCAGCCCAGGGCCTGATCCTGGAGACCCGGGATAGGGTTCCACGTCAGGCTCTCTGCATGTAGCCTGCTTCTCCCTCTGCCTGTGTCTCTGCCCCCCCCCTCTCTTTCTCTCTCTCTCTCTCATAAATAAAATCTTTAAAAAAAAAAGACTTCATTTAGAATTTGATTTTTGGGAGAAGTTTGTTAAAAATATAAAAAAAAGGTTTGAAAACCCTTGATTAAATAGGACCACAGGTCATTGTGAAACAATACTTGGTTGTCTGTTTAATCAAAGTGACAAAGACTTTGTAAGCAAATATGGCAAGTTAAATAGTTGTAAAAAAAACATTAGCCCTTAATAGAGAAGACTCCATTTTCTATGGTAATGAAAGACTTGAATCTTTGTTTTCCAGGCAGATTACTTAAAAAGATGAAGAAAAATTTATCAGAAGCCGACCAGTAGTTCAAGTAAACAACACCCTTGAAATAAATGAAAGGAAAATAAATTTTTGTTTACACAGTACACCATTCATATTAAAGTGTATTTTTAAAAACCCTTATAACAATTCACTTTTTAAAATATATTTATTTTTAAATAATTCACTTTTATCCAGTTTGATTACATAAGGTAAAATTCTCAAAAAAAAATAAGGTAAAATTCTCTTTAGAATGAAAAATAAGGGAAGACTGAGGAGACATGATGACTAAGCTTTACTACCTTCCTAAAATTGTACCAATTTACTTATTCTTTTCCTACCAGCAGTATATGAAAATGCCAGTTTCATTATTGTTAGTATCCATCCTCATGATAACTCAACAGTGGAAGAACAGAAATAACAGTTTTCCTTGGCACTTTGGATTAGGTATCTTTTGACCATAAAATATTGTCTTACAGAAAAATGGCTACTGGACAGGACCGGGTAGTTGCTCTAGTGGACATGGACTGTTTTTTTGTTCAAGTGGAACAGCGGCAAAATCCTCATTTGAGGAATAAACCTTGTGCGGTTGTACAGTACAAATCATGGAAAGGTGGTGGGTATGTATCATAATTATTGTAACTGTAAAATATTTTAATCCATGAGAATACATGGCTGTATGTTAGGTCCTATTTTTGAGATTTCTGAACGGCTATGTTTGAGATGTAATAGTGGCATCTGTAACCAAAAAGTTTCTATTACGTTAAGTTAAATGTTATTTTTGTTTGTGATCATGTAATACTTTTCTGTTTCTCTCTCTCTCTCTCTCTCTTTTTTTTTTGCCTAACCCTAGAATAGTTGCAGTGAGTTATGAAGCTCGTGCATTTGGGGTCACTAGAAGCATGTGGGCAGATGATGCTAAGAAGTTATGTCCAGATCTTCTACTGGCACAAGTTCGTGAGTCCCGTGGGAAAGCTAACCTCACCAAGTAAGAAGATTGCTTAGGGTAATGGAAGAATTGGAAATCATATTCCATGAGACTAGGAACTGATGTTTCAAATTTGCTTTGTGTAAATAACATTTGAAAAAGTTCCCTTTGGACAGCCAGCTTTTCTCTATGAAATGAAAATAGATTTTGATGCTGTGTTTCAGGAACAGTGCAGAGTCATTACAACCTGTAACAGTTGCTGCTCTTAACACCCTTTCGGTTCCTTAATTATTTAAAAATTGGCTTTATAATTAAAACAACACCAATTCCCATGTTCTCAGGCCAAAAGTCTGAAATGTTTGAAGTAATTAAATTGACTAAAACTAAGTTTTTCCAGAGAAGGATGAGTCAAACTGACATTATAGTGCAGTATCTAGAATTGCTTGCCTGAACTGAACAATCTCAAAGGAGATTACCTACTCTGTGTTCAAAGTGAGCTGCTGCTCCCCCGGATTTTAGAACATTAGTCTTAGAATGGAGACATATCTGGTCATTAGCCAAGTTAGAGGTAAGTACAAGCACCAGCCATTAGAATAATCCTAATAGTATATACTGAGGATATGTCCTATGCTAGCCTGTGTTAAGCTCTCCATGGGCAAAATCTCTTAAATTTTAAATTATGAGGTAGGTTCTAGTGGGATGCCTGGGTGGTTCAGCAGTTGAGCATCTGCCTTTGGCTCAGGGCATGGTCCTGGTCCGGGAATCGAGTCCCACATCAGGATCCTTGCGGGGAACCTGCTTCTCCCTCTGTGTCTTTACCTCTCTGTTTCTCTCATTGATAGATAAATAAAATCTTAAAAAAAAAAGAAAAAGATAGGTTCTAGTATTACCCCTCACCTCCATGAAGAAACAAGTTTTAGAGAGGTTAAATAAAATCACACAACTAGGAAATAGAAGGCCGAGGAATCAGGGATTTTTTTATAGATTTCAGTAGCCACGTTCTCATATTAAACTTTATCGTGTAATATGGTGTGTGTAAGTCTTTGGCTTAAGACTTGAAACATCCCTGAACTCACCTATGAATTACAAGTCTAAAGTTGACGTGCCATAACCTATTCACCCTGGAGTTATTGCCAGAAGACAGATTTGACTGAAGATTAATATCTTAACCCTAAAGTGAAATTAATTCAGTTAATGGACATAACACTAAACTGCATCGAATAGAATTTTTTGATGATGAAGACCGTGTAACTTCCCAGAAATATAGTTGACTTCCGAGTCTGATTTCGAAAAGCCATGTGCTTTAAACTGGATTGTTTATTTTACTCTTAAAATCTTCATCAAATAGGGATGCTTGGGTGGCTCAGCAGTTGAGCATCTGTCTTTGGCTCAGGGTATGATCTCCGGGTCCAGGATCGTGTCCCACATTGACCTCCCTGTGAAGAGCCTGCTTCTCCTATGCCTATGTCTTCGCCTCTCTCTGTGTGTCTCTTATGAATAAATAAATAAAATCCTTTAAAAAAATAAAATCTTCATCAAATAATGAGCAAAGCCAGTTTTACCAAGTTTAGGAATTAGTGTATAGACCAGAATTACTAAGACCTGGCAATTTAAAATTATTGTCTTAATAATTAACTTATGACACCAGCTTATAAAATATGATTTGCAGAAATGTATGCACATGAAATTTATCAAATATTTTTAAGATACTTTGGAATAATTTGCTCAAGCGGCTGTGAAGGAACACCAACTACTATGATAAGGTGTTCTTCTGTCACTCTGTGTGTATCATGTTCTCATGCTCTTACACACACTTGTACTTTTTTTTTTCCTTTGAGGTCTGATTATCCTTTGTCCAGCACAAATAATGATTTAAAAAAAAAATAGCCAAATATTTCTCTAATTCTTTTGAGGATTTTTTAGGACAATAATTATAGTAGTTTTTATAGATGTTTTTGTGAAATGGTGTAAATATTTCCATTTTTATGATAGATTTACCAGGAACAAAGCAGGTTCAAAGCAAAGAAAATATGCACATATTGCCATAGGAAACTAGCTAGCTACAGCCAGAAGAGCTACTTGTTATGTTTTAAATAGAAGGTATACGTGGTAAAATGGTATCCCCCAGGGAAGGCTGTTTATCTTCAGCTTGGTAATTTGAATGTTAGTATACCCAGAAGTGATTGGACTTGGTTGGTTGGATGTGTGTGTTTATATATATGTGTGTATATATGTAGCAAGGATCAGCTCACATGTTGACCCAGCTCACTGTTGAGTGAAGTATAAAATCCATGTCACTTCTGTTAACTTATAGTGAGAAATACCATTTTAAGGAAGACCAGATACTTGGGTCCATCAATCAGGGCAATGTTTCCTGTAAGTTATCTCTTATTTGAAGACAAAAGTGGAAGCAGAAAATACAATGGATGTATGAAAATAACAAAAAGAATAGGTGATCTTGGTAAAATGTCATTAAAGCATTTCTTTCCTCTTTGGAGCGATCCACAAAAACATGTTTATGGTTTGGATGCTTTCCACCTTCATAGTGCTAGGGTCACTAAACATGTTTGCCTCCATGGTTCTTCTTTTTCTTTGCTTCTGTTATTGAACATCTGCCTGCACATTGACCCCTTCGTTTACATTACTATCTGATCACTGCCAAGCCATTCCTCCCTTTAAGGAGACCTTACACTGGTTATGTATATGATTTCATTATAAGATGGAAGGATGGGGGCTAACAATCTCAATGTTGCCTTCATTTATTGCCTACACATGATAATCCTTACACTTTTTAGGTACCGGGAAGCCAGTGTGGAAGTGATGGGGATAATGTCTCGTTTTGCTGTAATTGAACGTGCCAGCATTGATGAGGCTTATATAGACCTGACCAGTGCTGTCCAAGAGAGACTACAAAACCTGCAGGGTCAACCTATCTCTGCTGACTTATTGCCAACCACCTACATTGAAGGGTTGCCTCAAGGCCCTACAACAGCAGAAGGAACTGATCAGAAAGGTACTTCCATTGCATCATAATTGCTTCTGCTTCCTGCTTTTGGAACCTGCTTTGCTTGGTCACACTGATCCTTCTTGGATTGATTGAAAGAAAACTTAAACAACAATCGAACGAATCACAAGGACTCACATGGAAGGATATACAAATTCTCTTATCTTTCCAGGTATATGGATGTTGAGAAGCTGTGAAATCTGTATGAAATCAGGTTTCTCTTTAAATATAACTGAAGCAGGTTAGAGTTCTAGCAGTAGACTGAGCACGTCTGTCATTTGTAGGTTAACTTATAGTATTGTGACTTGGTTTCTTTATCATTTAAGTTTTTTTTTTAAGGGGGACCTCAAGTACAGGGAGTTGAATGTCACTCAAAATTTCTTATCAATTTATAGTAAAATATTGGGGCACCGGGATAGCTCAGTTGGTTAAGGTCATAATCCCCAGGGTCCTGGGAATGAGCCCCACACAGGGCCTCCCTGCTGAGTAGGGAGCCTACTTTTTCCTCTCCCTCTACCCCTCTGCCTCCCCACCCCCAGCTTGTGTGTGTGCTCTCTCTCTCTCAAATAAATAATAAAATCTTTTAAAATTTTTATAGTAAAATATCAATGGGTTGTGTAAGGTCTCTTGTTTTATTTTCCTTACTTTCCCTTTCATAATGATTCCCCCCACTTCCTCCCTACCTGACCCACCCTTTGGTATGCACTGATGTATCTGGTATATCTTTTTGAATTTGTATATGTCTTTACAAATTGTACAGTGTTGCTTTGTGTATGTGCTTTTAAAATTTGTGCTTTTTAATTAAAAGATAGTATTGTGTTATAGATCTCATTCTTATTTTTTTTAATTTTTTAATTTTCCACTATTGTTAACATACCAGGTAGATCTCATTCTTTTTCTTAATTTTCCTTCAATGGTGATTTTATAGGTCTTTCCATGTAGTTGTATTTATGTGTAATTGATTGCTTTTATTGCAGCTTAATCCATGGTATGGATCTATCATGTTTACAGACCAATCTTCTAGTGATGAACTCATTCATTACTTCTTATTTTTTACTGTTTATATGATAAATGTCCTCATTCATCCTCTTATGGACCTATGCAGAGATTTCTCTGTAAAGTGTTTTCAGGAGTGGAGTGCTAGGTCATAAGGCATACACATATACTTAGTTTGACTCAATACTTCCAAGTCATTTCCCAGAATGGCTGTAGCTGTTACCCTATACCTGAAGTACACAAGAATGCCTATTGCCCTCATACCACACCAGCAATTAGTATTTTCTAATGTTTAAGGATATTTTCAATATGATGGCTATAAAGTGGTATTTCATATTTTTGGTTTATTTAAATTTTTATTTCTCTATCAATTGAAGTTGAGAATTTCTTCATATACTTGTTAGCTAATTGAGTTTCTACTTTGGTGAATTTGAATTGCTTATTTATAATCTTTACCTAGTTTATCATTGGACTTTTTTTTTTTTTTGGCAAGAATTCTTTGTATATTGTGCTTATTAGTTCCTTCTGTTTTTGACATTGCAAATATCTTCTCCCAAATCTGTCATCCACAAACTTTATGTTATACTTTGTTGAATAAAATTATTTTAGTCCCTCAGTTTTCACCTTATGCTTTATGCATTTTGAATCTTGTTTTAGATATCCATTTCTACTAGAAGTTTATGAAGACATTTATTATAGAACCCATCTTCCCAACAATTACTTAAGTAATCCATTCTTTCTCAATTTCCCATGTAATACTAGGTCAATTTCTGTAGTATCCTATTTGTCTGCTTCTACTCCTGCTCCAGAAACACACTTTTTATTACTGTTTGTAGTATATTTGATAGGGATTCCCCTCTGCTTTTGTTTTTCAAAATTGTCTTAGGTATAAATGTGCCTTTGTTGCTCAGTGTGCATTTTAGAATATATTAGTTGAATTCCTCAAAAAATTGTGATGGGATTGTATTGAATTTATATATTACAGATTTATATATACAGAGAATTTATATATTACATTTATGTATTATAGAATTTATATATTATATTGAATTTATATATATTTATATATTACAGAATTTATATATTAATATATTTATATGTTATATTGAATTTATATATTTATATAATTAGCTATATATATTACAGAGGATAGTTTTCTTTTTTTTCTTTTTTTTTTTTATAGGCTCCATGCCTAGTGTGGAGCTCAGTGTGGAGCCCAGTAAGAGGTTTGAACTCAACAACCCTGATATCAAGATCTGAGCTGAGGGCAGCCCGGGTGGCTCAGTGGTTTAGTGCTGCCTTCAGCCCAGGGTATGATCCTGGAGACCTGGGATCGAGTCCTGCGTCTGACTCCCCGCATGGAGCCTGCTTCTCCCTCTGCCTGTGTCTCTGCCTCTCTCTATGTGGGTCTCTCACAAATAAATAAATCTTTAAAAAAAAAAAAAAAAAGATCTGAGCTGAGATCGAAAGTCAGACACTTAACCAGCTGAGCCACCCAGCTGCCCCAAAGAGGATAGTTATCTTAACATTAACTTATGCCATCCATAAACATACCACCAATCTTCTGGTCTTCATTTGTGTCCCTTTGTTTTCTTTTTCTTTTTTTTTTTTTTTAAGATTTATTCATTTGAGAGAGAAAGCAAGAGAGCAGAGGGAGGAGAAGCAGGCTTCCTGGAGCCTGACATGGGACCCAATCCCAGGACATAAGGATCATGACCTGAGCCAAAGGCAGACATCTAACCACCTGAGCCACTCTGGCCCCCCTTTTTTTTCATCTAAGCTAAAAATTTTTATCTGTTTTAGTATTTTTACTTCTGAAATATGTAATCCATTATATTTTCCTTTATTTCCTCATCTACTTTTATTGATATAATTGCATAAAGTGGACAAATCATAAGTGTATATACCGTGACTAATTTTCACAAAGTAATCCCACTTTTGTAAGAAACACCCAAATCAAAAAACAAAATGAGAACCTTAGAAGACACACCTGCCTGCACCTCCAGTCACTATCTGTTCCTCTCCCGCTTTTCCTATAGTAACCACTGTCCTCATTTCTATTTAGTTTATTTTTAAACTTTATAAAATTGAAATCATACAGTGTATACTTGAGTCTGCTTTCACTTGGTCAATACTGTTTTTGTGAGATTCATCCATCCTGTTGTATGTAGTTGAGTTTGTTTACTTTCATTAGTGTGTAGTATTGTATTACATGAATATGCCACAAATTATGTGTTCTGCTGTTGGATATTTGGGTTGATTCTAGTTTGGGGCTACTAAGACTAATGCTGCTATGAACATTCTTGTAAATATCTTTTGGTGAACAAATGTATGCATTTCTGTTGGGTATATGATTAGAAGTGTTCAATTGGAGCGTTTGCCTAAAACCAGTTTTAGTTTAATTGTAGTCAGCTTTAGTAGGTACTACCAGTTTTCCAAAATGGTCATACCAATTTATAATCCCACTAGTAGCATATATGAAAGTTCTGGTTGTTTCACATCCTTTTAACACTTGTTTTTTTCTCTTTTGCATTTTAGCCATTTTGATGTGTGTGTAGTGTTATCATTGGTTTTAGTTTTTATGTCCCTGATCTTAATGAAATTGAGCTCCTTTTGTAAGTTTATTCACCATTTTGATATCTTCTTTCATTAAGTGTACCTATTTAAATCTTTTGTCCATTTTTGTTGTTGTTGGATTATCTTGTCTCATTCATCTACAGGACTTCTTTATATAGTCTGGAAATGAATCCTTTATTAAATATATGTATTGCAAATATATTCTGGTCAGTGGCTTGTTTTTCATTTTCTTACTGGTGGCTTTTGACTAACAGAGGTTCTTAACTTTAGTTTGATACGTGTATCTTTTTTTTTTCCTTTATGGATAGTATTTTTTATGTCCTAGTAAGAAATACCTACCTCAAAGTTATGAAGCAGGTCTGCATCTCTTCTCGGCCTTTTGGCTAAGATCAAGTGTATGAAGCAATTCTGCTTTTTCTAGAAGCTTTATTGTTTTGCTTTTCACATGTAGATTTATAATCCATTATGTGTGTGTCTGTAGGGGGTAAAATAGGAAGAAATTCTTTTTTTTATTATGTGATCACAGATCACCGTAACAAATACAACAATAATGAAAAAGTTTGAGCTATTGTGAGAATTACCAAAATGTAACCTAGACACAAAGTGAGCAAATACTATTGGGAAAATGGTGCCAATAGATTTACTTTATGCAGGGTTGACACAAATCTTCAGTTTATAAAAGCACATTGAAGCAAAGCACAATAAAACAAGGTATGCCTATAATTTGTATGATAATGCTTTTAATAAAATGTACTTGATGGTTAAAAATATTTTCTTAAAATTAGGGCAACAAAAATTTTGGTTTTGTGGTAATAATTAGATTATAATAGCTCTCAATGCCAGATCGAAAAGAATCTGGGTCGTAAATTTTTTTAACCAAATATCATGAAATGAATTCAGCTGGATCTCCCAGACCAAAGAATTTGGCAGTTAGAGACTTTTCAACAGGGTATCTACAGTTTTTCTTAAACATTTTCTAGTACTTTTCATAATGGCTATCTTCAAAAAGTGTATCTCCCCATCTGTAACATGTACTTTTAGAACTATTTTGTAACATTTTTATTCAGAAGTGCTTTTTCAGTAAAAAGTTTTGTGTGCTGGCTATAAACCAAAAGGAAACTGGATACTAACCTATAGCAAGTTAACTTCTTATGGAGGGAAACTTAAGGCAATCTGTAGTTACTTGTAGATACAGTAAAGATTTGTTCAGAAAGAACTTTAAGAGAGTTTAGCTTCTAGTTAAAGTGAATTTCCCATGGGTTCCATGTTGAGAATAAGGTATAAGATACAAAGTTTCTTTTTGTCATGGAACAGTTGTATAACAAATATGTTTTTAATATTTTGTGTTGAAGGGTAGTAGAACTGCCCAGGGAAGCTTGTGAGAAAGACCATTGAGGAATTATTTTATTCCTCATCCTGATAATAGCAGATTTTAT